GTTAGATACCATACAGTATAGTAAAGAACTGTAGATAAATAGTGCCTGATAGGCTTGAGTCGACTAAATTCACATTAATCGTATGTATTGATGTAACAGTTCCGAGCTGAGTAGGCAAATAGACCCAGAGTTAAAAGTTCATATGAAGCCATTACATATTACAAGTTATGTGTGATAGATATCAACAATACAACATTTAGCGGTCACGTGAATTTTCCGCCTTCCGTTTTTTTTTTCATAGCTGCTGCAACCCAATTTTATATTTTGCATGTATGGTCATAATTTCTTACGTGAAAAATAATATAATTTTGATCAGTCACATGGTTGACATTTTAGGCAAAAAGTACAAAATTTGGGGTATTTGCTAAGCATGAGTGCTTCAACGGATCATCTCGATAATTTGTATATAATAATTACGGCTATAGCATAGCTTCTCACGTTGCGATTGAAGTTAAACCGAAATGGACATTTTACCTATTTCCGCGGGTCTAGAAACTCTGATTGTTCTATAGTAGCATTATTACTATATGAGCTACCTAATTCTCGTAAAAGAAGTTTAAGCTATCACGTGACCTTTTCCGCCATATTGTAAAATTCGAAAAATGACAGCAAATGTTCAAAAATCTTCTTCTTCAGAACCGTTGAACATAATGTCATTAACGTTTGTGAAGCTCTTTGTGAATGGTCACATGGTTTGACCTACATCTTGGATTTCTTCCAAACAGGGAGTATTATTTTTAACTGATGCCACATTTTTCTGATTGATTTGAAATTTAGTACACTCCCATTGGAACTCCTCCTGACACAATCAAAATCACGTGACTTAGCCGCCATCTTTGACTGTTTTTGAAAATGGCCAATTGTTATCTTTTTTTACTGCATTGATGTCAGAAGCTTCTTGTGTGAACTATTGAATGCATTATATACACACACTTCACTAATGTTGTGCACATGGGTGGTAAGTTAAAATAAACTGTTAGATGGTCATGTGTCCAGGTGTATGCTTGGATCCCTGCAGTAATGTTCGCAGCTTTAATTATATATTCATAATTATATTACACCAGTATATTGATGGTGTTAATCCATTGATTTGATTGGTCCAAACACAAAATTTGCATATGCAATCCATGATATATTGGCTGATAATGCACGGCTAAACAAAGTGGCCCTGGAACATGAATTGACTACAGGTATAATACGGAAATACATAAAACCGGTATTATTTGATCTTTAGGGAAATATAGTGGTTGAATTTTGAATATTGATTAAAAATACTGAATTAAAAACATCTGAAAAGTTATACAACCATAATATTGTATTTTGTTAGGGATCCAAGTTGTGAGCGTCAGTCGTTGGGTAATTGTCGTTCGTCACACAAACCTAAACCATCGTCCTTCAACACTGTGAGGTGCCTAAACGAACGCCAAAACGCTTTGTTCTCCGTTTTGTGACTTTGAGATGGATTGCGAACCTCAAACAAAGAAAACATGATCTTTAAGTACTAGATAAGATTCAGGGATTGAAGGACAAAAAAATGCAAAAAACTATGAGTCACAGGAAAAGTGTATGCCACCAATAACAACTGGTGTCCCGTAGCGGCGTTCGAATTCTTTCTGACAAAATTGCAGTGAAATTGCACCCGGGTAATTGCCATCTGTTTCAAAGAACACGGGACAACCCAGGATTCGACGACGATATATGGTATTGTAATTCTCCACTATGGGTAAATAAATTACATGAGATGATGAAGGTAATTTCGAAAGCTGCAGATTTGTGCCAAGTGTACACCAACCACTGTATTAGAACGACGGCGTGCAAAGTCTTTATTTCGGCCGGAGTTGAGACAAGGCATATCATGTACGTGTCACAAAAACTATGCGACAACCTGATATTACACCATCCAACTTACCCCAGAACAACGACAAAACTTGTCAGTCATACTGTCACAAAACTTTGGTTATACCGAAGGTATCCAGGTCAGATGTTGGAACTGAGGTCGCTGTGCCGGTCGCCGTACATGATACACCGCATCCCGCCACGTCTCAAATTTCGGTCGAACCAAGTACCGTTGACCCCCCCCCCCCGGGGGGGGGGGGCACTGGCCTTTCACTTTAGTAGGGGTGTGCGGCCGGGAAATAAAACCCCAGACCCCATCATAGACCATTTTCACTTAAAAACAATACCCCATTATAGACCAAATAGTGATTTTGTATATCCCATCAGAGACCAAATTGTCATTAAATTTATTCAGTTATAGGTTGAATTTTCTCATCATCCAGACTCATCAATCTGAATGAATGATCAATCCAAGGGAAATAAGAACAAATAGAGTGCACTTACTTTTTAACACACAGCATTTTAATAGTATTTGATTCACAAAAAAGTTGTGACTCATGCTATAATCATATCTACAGCTTTGATAATTTGATGAACTAAATTTAATGCCCATATAGCATACCAGGTATCATGAACAGAATTGAAATATTTTAAAAATAGTATTTTATTTTTCAGTAATTTTGATATCAGACAAGTCACCAGCATGGTATTCATCAAATCAAAAAAATTGGGATATTATAGCAGCCAATTTAGTTTGCTGCACATAGAAGTCAGCATGGCTGTATGATAGTGCCATTAAAGCACAATGTTTAGCCAACAGCAGATGATCAGTATTAGACTTGCTCACAAACAATATTTTCAGAATTTAACATTTCCATTTGCTCATATGTCTAAAATACAGTAGTAGATATGCTAATATTATAAATTTATAATATTATAAATACACATCAACATACGTTATTATTATTATTATTATTATTAAGACAAAAGACATGTACTACTATATAGTAACAAAAAATAGGTATACTAGTAATAAAAAATAATATAAGTAAAAAAGAGTTAATCATAATAACACTTATTATGTTTTATTTCGATACATAGTTTGTGAATTATTATTATATGAATTTCTTTTCATTCCCAATATTTTTTTTCTCTACTGCTTCAAATAAGTCATTCCTTTGCGTCTAGTATCTGGAACCGGTTATTATGAAATGATATTCATTTTCAATATCGTTATTGGAACACAAATTGCAAATTTTCTTTTCCACTTCACCACTATGTCAGCTGTTCTTTGACTCGAGACAATGGTTCCCCGCTGGGGTTCTGCAATCTGAATTGTGTTAGAATTGCCGCTCATTTTATTGACATAATGTATAACCATCCGAAAAAAGTCACGGAAAAGCGCCAAAATTGGCTCTATCCCCTCGGTCTATACATCATTATTATTTGCGATTGAAAAAAAATCAATAACAGTTTTCCCCGGGTAGTTTTCATCCAAACTTTATACTAGACGAATATCCAGGCCCCCCCAAAAAATTACAAATCTGATGGGTCATGGTCAAACACCACAGCAATAAAAATGAATATACAATACGCAATTCAAGTAAACATTTGTAAAATTACGTTTAAACTTGTCAATAGTTTCTGAGATTCTCTCACTTGATCCTAGAACTCGCTGTAAAAATATGTCTACACCGTCAATTCCCGCCATGTTGATGACTTCACTACGCATGCGCTGATTTCGTACACACTGAACACATTGCATTGTGGGGCTCATTAACGGGACAAATGATGGCCTAAAGTTGCAGACTTCTGCGCCCGGTTAAGACGACCCGCTACGTGAAAATATGCCAATAAAAAAACAATAAAAATACTAAAACTCGAGTAAATACATGGAAAGTGGCAAAACATACCCCATTCTAGACTGGCAAACTGATATTGGACCAAAAAACAAGCAAATCTATACCCCCATTCTAGACCCAAACAGCAAAAAATTAAGACCCCCAAAGGGCGTCACGTCCCTATAATACGATTTGCATTAAGTGCCCCCCCCCGGGCGCTGAACATCAAATATCCACAGTTACAAGTAGTATGATGAGTCACAAAACCGGTTTATTTCACAACTGTACTTTCAATGGGCAAATTACAATCCACATTGTACAAAAACCGGAATGAAAACGTGGAAAATCCGTTGTTTTAATGACCCAAACTGTACACAACCCTGTATTTCAAATTGCGTTGACACAGTCAGTAAAAGGTCAGAAAGGTCATCTTTTGTTATGCTAATTTGTGTGTTTACGCTGCTCTATTCATTGCGGATACGTTTCTTTTTCATGCGGAATAAAAAATAGTTTGTATTCAATTTGAACTGCGTTGCGCATGTAATTTTTGTATGCATTCAGCGTACAACTGTCAATTGTCAATATACTGGTATAATATAATAGCAATAACCCCCCTCCCCGCCGAAGTTGGGTATACCGCTGCGGCTCGTGCATATTTGTCGTGAATTGTGCAATATCTCGTGGTATACCAGCCTTCGGCTTAAATATATGTTCCATATATCAATAGCTACATCGATAATAAATCACTATAAATTAGGAATAAATAATCGCCCAGTACCTACACTATACTAAGTATATTTCGATCTTGTGACACGCTTATTATTTGCATGGAATTTGGGGTCGAAAAGACGTTTTAGATCTAATTCATGAAACTTAGGAGATGTCAACTGCAGTGTCAAAATTCATACACTGCCACTGACTCTGAATAAATAATCACTAGTACTGTACTTACAACTATTCAGCAAATATACAAAATTGACATAATTATCATTTCTTTTAAAATGTTGATAACATTTTCATTTTGTATGGACAGATTATGACTAGAGATATGACTGACCTTACTCCTATATGCAAATGTTGCGTGAAGGTGAACGAACTTTAAATGTGTCATTTGACGCTCATACGAACATTTCTGCTTACGTCTGTTATTAGTCAACTGAATAACTAATTAAATATGATA